AATGAGACAAGCCTTGAGCGTCAAAGTGATTTCGCTTAGTAGTGATTCTCCGAGACATAGTCTTGTTCCAAATACGGTTTTGCCGTTTTACTTGTTAATCTTTATTAAACACATCTCTGTCCTAAAAATTAAGCTGTTGGTTATTTTATAATAATTTATAATATAAAAATTCTTATAACAGATGGCGTCACAAACGATTTTATATATATCGTAATGAGTAATATAAAAGTTATTTTTAAAATAAAATCTCATAACAGCCGGAAAAGTTACGCAACTTCATGTCTTTTAAAATGGCAAAAGGCAAAACAACTCACGATCATCGGCATGTTTTTTGACTTTTACATCGGCCACGATGTTGATGATATTAACGACGACTCACAGTTTATCTTCTTACAATAATTATATGCTTTGAACAATTGAATATTCGTTAATAAACGAATTGCATAATCGTTTATTATAAAAGTGGTTCAATTCCATGTCCCATAGTCTAATTAATTAAACACTGGGTAAGTTAAAAATTAACCCTAGTGGCTTCTTGCAATTCGACTCACAATGTAATAAAAAATCTAAGTGTTTATGTGGGAAATGTTTAATATTGTATTCAATATCGACGAAAGTGGCGAAATTTAAAACTACATTTATCATAAATCAGACAAAAAGAGCATGTTGACGATGTCCCTCGTCTGATGTTTCCGTTTGGAAACTTCAAATTTACATATATAACATCTTTATATAAAAATGCTACTCGTAAAGAATTTTACTAATTCAAATGAGTGTAATTAATATAATTTATCACAACATATCATGTATATAATTTATAATTTATAGCAAATCTATTTAAATATAGTAAAGCTTACCTGTATAACTTTTCGCTTTTACACTTCTATAAAGTTTTTTACTTTGTTTTATTTTTTGTTCTTTTCACCTTTGAGAGTACTAAAATGGACCTTTTTAGACCATAGTGAATTCAGTATTAATGACGTGGCCAAGTTACGAGATACGGGTTTGCACGTATCCAAGATGGATCAATCACTAAAACACTCGGAGAGGTGCCATTTCGGGTTCGATCCCGTATCCCTTAGAACAGTAGAGTGACCAGTGCCGTATTTATAACGTAATGGTCCCTGGGCTAGGACCAAGATGGGATCCCCTTAATAAAACAGAAACAATAGTATATTACACACCTAGTGATGCATTATTTGTTTCCTCCCGTAAAGTATATACGATTTTTCACCTCCCTCGGGCAATAAGTGGAATTTTTTTCCGCGCTGCAAGAAAAAAGTACCGTTTCGGCCGAGATGTGGTGAATAAAAAGTTTCAAAAATTTTGTAAGTTTGCTTAGTTTTAAGATCATTTTTAACTACATATAGGAGAAATAAAGTATTCGATATTTTTAATAATTTGTTTATTTTAATTAACTATTTCTTATTTGTAACTTTATTACTTTCGGATTAAGGGCGCCCTACGGTCTGGGGGCCACGGGCCAGGAACCCGTAGGCCCTGCCTTAAAGGCGGCACTGAGGGTGACAAATTAACAGCCTCGGTTATAGTGGCAGATTTCCATTAGAACCAGTAAGCCTGAGACAAGGGGCACAAAAATTCAAAAATAATTTTTCGTAGAAATAATTCATAAAAAAATCAGTGCACTCTAGAGCTTATTTAGAGACGAAGTCAGATGTATCAGTTGGTAGTATTACTAACACATCCCATAAAAAACTGGTGAAGCCAGGTAGAAGAAGTAAAGCTCAGAAAAACATATAAATAAATGAAATTTTTGAAAGTTGTAGTATGATAGTGTAAGCAGATTTGACAATAAGAATATGCGAATAGTGCACATTGTTTCATCGAAAACTTTCTTTAGTTGTAGTCTGTATAACGTGCAATTTATTCACATGTTGAGTCTTACTGTCAAATATGCTTAAAGTATTTTTATACCACAACTTTGAAAAGTTTTTTTCATTTATATATTTTTGCATAGCTCCATTTTTCCAACCTGCTTTCACCAGTCTTTTAATGAAAGTTTCAAGTATTTTTCAGTCATCAGTAACTTTATAAAAGAATAGTTTCTATGGTAAAAGTCAAGTGATAGACTGCAGATTTTTCTGTCCCAAATAATATGAAAAATCTGTTTCCGATCGGATAAAAAATATAGAAGTTAATAAAGGGGTGAAATCACAGTGAATGTATTAATTAATAGATTAAAATAAATCGCAAAACGTCATATCACGTTATATAAAATCGACCAATTAATATTTTAAAAAATACGCATTAATTCTATAAATACTTCGCATTTTTAAATAAAACTTTCAAAAAAAACAACGAAAGAGGTTATAATTCAATATCATTACGATTTATGTTTATTTTCCAGACACGTACTATTAACATATTTTTAAAAAATTCCGTAAATAGCTTTAAGATGACATTTCTCTCTTCGCTTCTGCTTCCGCTCTTTCTTTCTACACTTTCGTGTTTCCTAAGATTGTCTTATTGACTTCGCACAAAAGAAATTTTGTTGAGTTCGTAATTTCAATTTAGAATTTACGCGGGTTTTAATTTGAGGGTGTTGCACACGAAATTACAGTACTAAATATTTTTCATTTTTTAAATTCATCTAGTTAATTATAAAAATTCAACCACTGTTTACTACTCTTTATTTTGCCGGTTGTGGTACAAATAACAGAAGGAAATCGTATCAAAAATGATCCTCTCCCAAGATTTATACTTTTGGACTCGGAGGACCTTGAAACGTCGAGAAATGCGAAAAAATTCGTCTTTTACCTGTATATATGGATGCTGGTATGTGTGGACGAAACGATTTTCTTCGTCTGCTTTCAAGCTTACTAACTCGTGTTTTTTTTGTCGAAAATTTCTAAAATTTTGTTTCCCTATTAGGGGCATTGATGCTATTAAATATCGATGGTTAATGCTCGAGAGGGTGAAGAGATAAAGGGGTCGCGTGTTACATCTGGAGTAGGTTCGAAGTTAATGACAATTTTATTCATCATTAGTATATATAATATTTTTAATAAAACCCGTCTCTACCCTCAAAATTAAGCTTTTTTCGTTTTATAATTAAAAATATAAACATTTTTTAAAATAAAATATGTTAACAGACGGCGCCACACGCAGTTTCAAATATTGCTGGAAAAGCTAAGCAACTAACTACTTGCGGAGTTTTTAATTAATAAACAAACAGTTGAATCATTTACTATAATGATTTAGTACACGATGCTATCGTACTGTTTTTTATTTGTGTAGATGTACCAAGTAAAGGCATTTTTTTTATCGTCAATTGAATTCCTTCATCGCATTACCTTATTTACTTATTTGTACTTTATTTGTACTTATACTTATTTGTACTCAGCTTTATACTGTAGAGTACCTTATCGTATCGTCCTGTCACAACTTACACTGTCTAATCTAGTGATGTTTATAAACTATACTCAGGGTTTTTACTAAATATTTTGTTTTAATAAAATACTGAATTTTTGTTCTCTTTCTCATTATTTCTTACTTCATGTACGGTTTTCAACGTTTAATATTATCACTGATTATTCAACATTCTATACATTTATTATTCCGTATTTTATTTATACATATATAAAATAGAAAACACAGAAAAAGTCAACGGGTTTCGCGAAGGTTACCCCCAACAGTGTCCTCCCATTTTAAGCATTAAGTGATGGCCACCCTACATAAAATTCATTTTTGTTTTTATCAAAGTGAAATTAGAAAGACTCGCTATTTTCCTGGGGATAAGCGTAAGAAAAAAATTGGTCATGTAAATTCTAAATTTAAAAAAATAAGCACAACCGAGACCCCGAGAGCAGTGAACTTATATATTATAAATATATAAATGAAGACACAGACTGGAGATAAACAGAGACTGAGAACTCCTTACTTCATTTGTTATCGATTTAAAGTCACGTGATAAATTTAAACTGATCACTGTGAACAACTATGCCAAACTCGGTTACAGGGCACCGCCATTAAATTCTTATCGCAACGTGTATACCTGACGTGTATACTGATATAGTCAGATTGTATCAATAGATTAAAATACATTAATCCTGAGATTATTTCAACAAATTATTCAAAATTTGCCATAAATGCTTAATTAAAAGTCTTGACATTTTTTTAAAGATAACATACATTTATTTCCTTTTATACTAAAGACTTTGTGTTTATAATATTAAGTATCTTTAATATATGTTATACTTAAAATTAATAATACCATAGCGAACGCGCTTACCAAAAATATNTTTAAAAAAAGGTTTGATTAATTAGGCACATGAAGACAAATCCCGATTTATGCGTTAAGAAATGTGATGCTTGTGGCAAATAAAATAAAATAATTATTTCAAAATATGTAAGTTATTTCGAGGCATTTCACAAAAACTACTCAATTGAAAAATGAATTCGCGCGTTTATTTAAAATGTAATTTGAACAGAATATTTTATTCTGTTCAAATTACATTTGAATTCTGTGCGAATTCATTTTTCAATTGAGTAGTTTTTGTGAAATGCCTCGAAATAACTTACATATTTTGAAATAATTATTTTATTTTATTTGCCACAAGCATCACATTTCTTAACGCATAAATCGGGATTTGTCTTCATGTGCCTAATTAATCAAACCTTTTTTTAAATGTTTTCTTGCATATTTTAGATAAGTGTTTATTTGCTATGACATAAACATACTCTTGATGAGTTTGGGATTCGATTTTGTTTTAAATTTGCTATTACAATGGCCTCTAAAGTACTAATAATTTTGATAACGAGTTGATATCTTATAAAATGTTTAATATAATAACCTTTCTCAAACACTTCATTAATGTAACGAAGATTGTCTTTATTGTCTATGTGTATTACACTTCTTCAAATAATTTATTACACATATTACACTTTTAAATGTGAACTTTCGAATGTTCATTTAATGTGTTTTTAGTCTTAAATGGCTTGTTACAATCATTGCATACAAAGATATTTTAATGTCTAATAATACAATGTCTGGCTAAGGCACTTTTATAGGTATAACATTTTTTACATATGTCACAAACATACTTTTTTCTATCTTTATGAATTTTTTCATGCCTTTTTAAATTGACTTTTGTTTTAAAATATTTGTTACATATATAACAAGAATATTTGTGTTTATCGATGTGTGTACGAATATGCATTTTTAAATCAGAACTGCGTTTAAAACTTTTGCTACATACCTGACAAGTATAGTTAAGTTTGTCACTATGAGTTTTTTGATGCTTACTTAAATTGTCTTTCCATTTATAACTCTTATTGCAAATATCGCATTTCAAAGAACGTTTAACACTATGAGTTTTTTGATGATGTTTTAATAGGCCTCTCAATTTAAAACCCTTATCACAAATATCGCATTTGAAAGGACGTTCGTCACTATGAGTTGCGTGATGTCTTTTTAAATTATCTTTCCATTTATAACTCTTATTACAAATATCGCATTTGAAAGGTCATTCTTCACTATGCATTGCTCCATGATGTATCAACAACTTTTTCGACTTGAATTCTTTTCCACATATTTTGCAAGCATGTACTTTGTGAGTTCTCTTGTGTATCTCTAAACGGCCCTTACCATATCGAACGCGCTTACCACAAATGTCACAATACAGATTTTCCAGCTTGCAATTAGATCTTTTACTATGTCTAAGTTTATGTCGTCGCAAATAATCTTTTCCTTTAAAATATCTGTTACATATATCACAGAAATATTTGTGCTCATCGCTGTGTATATTAATATGCCTACTTAAATCACTACTTCGTTTAAAACTTTTGTTACATATATGACAAGTAAAGTTAAATTCGTCACTATGAACTACTTTATGAATTCTCAAATACTGTTTTCTTTTAAAACTTTTGTTACATACCTGGCAAGAATAGTTAAGTTTATCATTATGAGTTTCGTGATGGTTTTTTAGTAAGTCTTTCCTTTTAAAACTCTTGTTACAAATGTTGCATTTGAAAGGACCTTCGTCACAAATAGTTTTTTGATGCGTTTTTAAATGCTGTTTCCATTTATAACTCTTATTGCAAATATCGCATTTAAAAGGTCGTTCTTCACTATGCATTGTTCCATGATGTAACAACAACTTTTTCGACTTGAATTCTTTTCCACATATCTTGCAAGCATGAACTTTACCATTTCTTGGAGATGAATTCACTCGATTCCCAGATAACTGCAAAGATAACTGCAAACGTAAATTCCTAAGAGAGATTTCGTTTTCATTTACAGTTTTGTGTTCTTTCACGTGTTTTTTCAATAGAAATTTCCACAAGTACGCCTTATTGCAGGTTGTGCAGCGAAATGGTTTTTTATCAATATGACAGAACAGATGTGTTTGTAATATTTTCTTATTTCTAAAAGTCTCTTTACATAAATCACAGGTAAATTTCTGTTTAGAACGAGATGCAAACTTAATCTTAAAGTATTTCCTTTTAATTTTATCATAAATTCTATTGCATTTTCTATTCGAAAAAACGTATTTCTTTGTTTTGATATTATATTTATAATTGTAACACTTTCGTTTTTTTGAGTTGTGCTTAATATCGTATTCTTGATTCTGCTCTTCCTCCTCAACTGAAAGTTTAAAAAATGACGTAATGAAGTAATACCTATTATATTTCAATAAACATAATATAGCTTCAATATTAAAATATCAGTGCTATAGTTGTATATTTGGTGAAGTATACCTAGGTTTTTTATTTAAAAGCAAGGCATTATTTGTTGTTTGCACGAAAATTTAAACATTTTAAAACCATAAACTGATTAATTCAGCTTTAGTTTCTTTATTAGACTTTTAAATGAGTATGAAAAATTAAATTGTTTCACTTTATCTGTTTTATTTTATTTTTTATTTTATTTATGTAGTTTGTTCTAGTAATTATCATGAAAACATAGAAGAAATCGTATGGTTTTAGAAAGGAAAAGAAATTTTTAGTGTAAAAGACAAAGTTCCACAGCCAAAGCCAAGTCCAAGTAGAAAGAAAAAATCGGTTGATTCTAAAAATTTTTTGTATCAAAATTCGTTAATTTCAGCGTATGTCTGGTAGATATATACGTTTTTCATATAATCGTAACGTGTTTTCTAACACGTTGTAAATATTTACTTATTTATGTCATTAAATAAGTTATAGACCCCTCGTTTACTTTCTTTCAATACATTTTCTTTACTATTTTAGAGGATCTATGAACAAAATAAAATAACATAAATCATTAAATCACAACTCATGAGTTGTGATTTAATAATTCTGATCATTCCAACAAATTTTTATTAACTTCAAAAGTTATATTAATACGATGTAGGAAGTTACTTATTTTTCTCAAATAAATGTATGACAGTTGAAACTTGAATGCAGTTCTTTAGCTGCCTTCTAAATAATACTAGATTAAAAGGTCTGATCTAAGTAACATGTTACTTACTTTGAATGTTCATTTCATTCCTGTTAGAGTTTCTTTCTAGAGTGAAAAATTCATTGTTGACAGGCTAAACCATATATAAACAATACATGACAATCACTAATAATCACTTATGATAACGAGTTGCTCAACTTTCCCGGCAACGTTTTAAAATTTTGATGGCGCTGTCTGTAATAAAACGTTTCTAAATAAAATATAAACTGAATTTTGAAACTAGAGATAAATTTTATTAAAAAGAAAAAGTTAAATGCGAATAACGAGTAAAATCATCATTAAGTCCAACCCTACTGGAGATACACACGACCGCCATTATCTGCCAATCTTCTTGATTTTTAACCAGCAAAATTTAATAGCCTTAATTTCCATAATAATCAAACTTTGCTGCAAAATTTCAGAAATTTTCGACAAAAAGAACAGGAGTTATTAAGTTTCAAACAGGGTGAACAAAATCGTGCATCCCCAGACACAAACATTCATACATACCACCAACGTGTCAATGGGTCTGAAATAAAATCCCATTGTTTATTCTCTAATTTATCTTGCGCAGAAAGAGCAGAAATACTCAAGCCATTAACTGAGAGCAATTTGAAACATATATAGAAATTCTCATCATACTTTATCGTTTGTTATTTCTCATTGAGCGATTTCGGTCTTTGAGCCTCACATATACATAAACAACGAAAAGTATTGAAATAGTGTCAAATTTTATCCTCCGATTTTTGCAAATTTCCAACTTTTAAGATTATCTAATCCGAAATTTAGTACCATCCGTTGTGTATAAGGAGCATTAATGGTATTAAATTTTAGGGCCCACTAGTGGCCGAGCGGTCTTCGTATCCTGAACAGTGGGAGTTCGATCGTCGGTTCGCATCTCGCTGGCCACGTGGAGTTTTCCGGGTTTTCTCCACGTCTGTAACGCCTAAATTGGGGCCACTTTCCCTTAAAAGACCTCCGTGAAGGCATCCCCCTAGGCACATCGCCCAAGTGTTGCGTTGCCATAAATTAACAAATAACATATCAAATTTTGGTAAAGAAATGTCCAGGGGTAAAGAGATAAGAAAAGGAAAACGTGTAAAATCTCGAGTAAATTCGGACATAATGAAGATTTTAATTGTTGTTAGCATCTATAATTCTTTGTGAAATGCATTTCTACTATTAAAATTAAGCATTTCTTCATTTTATAATAATTAAAATTATAGAGAGTTTTTATAAAATATTGCGCCACAGAAAATTTTATTTATTTATTATGATTAATAATATAAATGTTATTTTTTAAATAAAATCTCTTAACAGACAGGAAAGCTACGCAACTCGTTGTTAGATATTTTTTTTATATAATACATATTATTTATTTAATATAGAATACAACTAAATTCAAAGCATAATATTATATTAGTGATATTGAGCTATGTTTTCATCCATTCAGTAAGCTAAGGTAATATTAAAATTTCACCTTAAATTTTTCGAAATTTGTATTACTTACCATTACCTGTTCATTATCATCTGGAAGATGAACAGCTTCTTTATGATCTTCAGTCTTTACTTCAATCTTCAATCTTTTCAAAACAACTTTACATTCTGATTTTATACCATGTTTTACATCCCAATTATCTTTTACGTCTTCTTTCTTGATATCTGTAGTGGAATTTACAAAGTTTTGTGTAAAAGTATTCTAAGAAAAACTTGAAATATAAAATAAAACTGAGCATATTTTCAATAATTAACATAACAATATTAAATTACATGTTTCACTACATCATTTATTTGTGATTACAAGCCGAAACTAGCAATTTGTCACTGCGTATTGGTGTGATGTGTAACACAAATTATAATAAATATGATTAGAAACTTCTTTTCGTTATTAAATAAACCAGCAAAGTCAGCTTTATCAAGTTTCCCGGAAATATTTAAAACTATATGTGGCATCATCTCTTTTATTTGTGATTACAAGCCGAAACTAGCAATTTGTCACTGCATATTGGTGTGATGTGTAACACAAATTATAATAAATATGATTAGAAACTTCTTTTCGTTATTAAATAAACCAGCAAAGTCAGCTTTATAAAGTTTCCCGGAAATATTTAAAACTATATGTGGCATCATCTCTTATGATATTTTGCTTAAAATATTTTTATATTTTTAACTATTATAAAATAAAAATAAATAAAGTTTGAATTTGAAAATAAAGATGACTTTTATAAGAAAATGTAAAAGAGAAAATGAGTAAACTACTCATTAAGTCTGACCTTACTGAAGATAGACACGTCCCCTGTTCTTCTTCACAAAACCTTAAAAGCATTTTAATAAGTCTAAAAAGTCCTTTTAAATAACAAACTTTTCTCTGTAAATTTTTTCGTCCGATGGAGATTATTTTTTAATAAAATTTTAATCCATCGGACGGAAAAATTTTAAAGTTGTACTTCAAATCGAAAATAACGAAGCTCAGTTTAAAGCTCGTAAGGCCGTTATTTATACAAATATACTGTTTGGAAGTATGTTCCTCTATTTCCAACTTCATATTTTAGCATTTTAGTTGTGTTTTAAAGCAACACCGCAATATTATAGAAAAATACTTTTACTCACCTCTAAACGTTCCGATTTAATTGTTTTATAACACTTCTCCTCATCTGTATTAAATTCTCTCTTGAAGTTTTTAAAATCAATTTTACAATTGAACGAAACGAAGAAAAATTTAAAGTTGATTTAAAGTCCGAATATTTCGTTTCTAACTCTTGTTTTATCTTCATTTTCTCGATTTACGATATTTTCGTATGTCAATAATCTGTATTCAATCAAAGAATTAATTAATTAATTAATATTCATTTGAAATTGAGGGCAAGCAACAAGGAAAGACGAGCAAAGTCATTACTATTGTTCCCGTTGTAGCAATAAAATTAAGGATGGACTTTCAGTGTTGACAGAAGAAACTGGAGTAGTGACACGTGTCTAGAACACGTGACACTTTTCCGCTCCACTATCACTTGTTATATGGTTAATAGTGTCGTTCTTAGAACGCACCTATAAATGTTTATAGTAAGAAACTAAAAATGAAATATTTAACAATACATTAAAACCTAGAAGCTTTCCGGTTTATATTGTGCTAGGTACAGGAGCCTATCTAGGTTTTTTGGGGCCTAGTACTTATTGAATTGCAATGGGACCTCATTTTGTAAAATTAAAACTTTTTAAATAAAGGATTAAAATTTATTTTTAATAACATCAAAATCAGAAATATATATATTTATGAAATGTTAATAGAAAAGTATTAAAATTTATGATAACAATTGAATTTTTGTGTGACCTTGACGCATCTGGGCACAGAGCTTGAGTCTTATTAGTCCCTATATAGATTTGCTCCTGACTAAGTAGACTGATAGTTCAATTTTAACTCTCTTATAATTAAAAAATAAAATTGAAAAGCAAATAAATTTATAAAATAAATTAATAAAACTACTAAAAATATAAAAATGAATATAAATTTGATTAACTTTTGAACGAAATAGCACTAAAATAATTCTTAACAGTTATGTGGAAAGAAACGACAGTTGCAATTAATTAAAAATAGTATAATTAATGTTGAAAATTCGATGGAAAATTAATATTACGTGAGGATCCAGAGTGCATAAATTACTTTTAAGACAAAAGTTTGTTATATTTGTTCGATATTTTTTTCTATTTTTGTACAACATATGAAATTAAAGGAAAAATTTCTTTTTCTGTTAATGTACCGTACACCTGTGTTTCTCAACATCTAACGAATCGTCGCCCCCTTCAACGTAGTATCGCCCCCATCAATAAAACCGTTATGTAGTATCGCCCCCTACACTACAAAATTACGATGCCGAGGGCAAGGCTAACCAAATTCATACTGCATCGAATAGACTAGTGACTAGTATGATGTTTTCTATTTAATTATTGTACGATATAACGAATAAAATATGTAATTACTCTTAATATAATGTTTTACTATATCGCCCAGAAAATTGTTTTTCGCTCCCCAAAATATAAATCGTTACTAATCGCCTCTTCAACATGGAAAAACGCCCACATGGGGGCGATATCGACCCCGTTGAGAAATACTGATGTACACCAACGCTCCCTAACCCATTTTTCCTTGGGTGAGAAATTTGGAAATATTTTTAGGAAAACTTTTCTATAAATTTACACTTTGTGTCCTTACCGTACATTGTTCTTCAAATCCAAACATAATTAAACACAATGTTCCTTTACACACGTTTTAAAAGTTAAGCAAAAGATTATCAATGACCTCAACCTTTCCCTACGGTCATCGTCCAATACTCTGCCTCCAGTGCCCCCTATCACCGAATTCCTTCTTCTCGCCCCCCTACATTTACTAGCCAGCCATCAACAGGGGGCCGCTTTTAGGGACAACTGCGCTAAACAGTCCAACTTCCGTCACGTGTCGGAAGAGTAGAAATCTTGTTTCGACAGTTAGGAGTTCTGCGCTTGAAAATTAGGTCACCCTCAGACAGGGCAGTTCCTGGAATCTGCCACTTAAAACTTCTCGCTTGTGTGAAAGAAAGACAGAGACTAAAAATTCCAATACCTGCGATAAACATAGGAAAAAAAAGGGAAAAAATTCGAAGACGAAGAGAAATATCTCCGATTTAAAACATAATTGTGAAAACATTAAAGGTATATTATATTTACGTTATTATGTGAATTCTTTCTCCATTCGAAAGGGAAATTCGAAAGGGAAATTCAATAGTGGGATAAACCAGTAACCAGTCATACATATTTCTCGGCAACATTTGAAATTATGCTAACGCCATCTGTTATGATATTTAATTTTTCCTAGTTTTAGTCTAATGTATAATTTCTAGTAACGAGTAAAATCGTCATTAAGTACGCCATGACGCGTTTCTATCAGCCAATAACGATTCGTCTGGTAGTCACGTGAGAAAATAAAATCAATTTCAGAAAGAACGATGCGGTTACATGAAATAACTGACATTAGATACAAAAATAGAAAATAAATTTAAATCAAAATCTTCTAGTTAAATAAAGCCAGCCGTACAAAACAAAATTTGTAAACACTTAGATAACGGCAGTGTCGGTATCGTTCGCCATCTTGAATACTGTACGCAAGCGCCTAAATGAAGGCGCTTGCGCAAACGCATGCCGCGAGGCGAAAATGCGTTTGCGTCAAAGCTTTTCGTTGCCGCGCCACGTGTGCATCCACCCTAATTGCGATACATACGATTCCTATTAACTCTGCACTCTGTCGTCCTTAAATTATCGAAATTTCATAACATTAATTCCCTAAATAAGGAGAGAAAACGTAGAAAAGGACTGACGATGTAACAACGGTGTTTGTCAGACGAATGATAAAAAAGAGGTGAATTCTATGAACAATATTTGTTTATCATATACGTCGTGAGTTTCGTAGCTACTAACTATGACGTAAGTTGGTTACGTGATACTTCTTGATTCTCTTCTATTAATATTGAGTGTGCATTCCTTTTTTACTGCTACAACGCGAACAAAAACACTGAGTTTACTTGCCTGTCTTTGTTGGGGTTCTTTCATACTATAGCCGACTGGTCCAACCTCAAGTCTTGTTGTCATGGCAACAGCAGTCAGGTCGTTCTAGTTCGACAGCTTTAAGGAGGATGCATACAAGCGCCACGGCAATGAAAAGCTTCAGAATAACGTCACTTTTTCTCGCCGCAGAAGTCGATTTTATGCCTCTTTTCTCGTGCCGCAAAAGTTGGTTGAATTCTATCTCTTTAGGGGAGTAAGGGGACAGCCGCCAAGACGCGTTTCTATCAGCCAATAACAGTTCATCTGGTAGTCACGTGAGAAAATACAATCACGTGGGGTTTTAAGTTCGACGCGGTTAGCTTAAATAAATAACATCAGAATAAAAAGGAAAGGATAATAAATTTTACACAAGTTCTACACAAATAATCACATATAGTTTAATATATAATTTTATTGTAAATATTTATTAATTGATATCGATTAATGACACTATTCAAATAAAAGAGGTGTTTCGTATTGTATAGATTTTATTTATTGACAAGACTGTCTTGTTTATAAAATCGTACCGCTGTTTTATGTTACCAGCGTAGAGGTATGAAAGAGTACATGAATAGAGTGATATCTGGCNAGCCGTAAATTTATTGTAAATATTTATTAATTGATATCGATTAATGACACTATTCAAATAAAAGAGGTGTTTCGTATTGTATAGATTTTATTTATTGACAAGACTGTCTTGTTTATAAAATCGTACCGCTGTTTTATGTTACCAGCGTAGAGGTATGAAAGAGTACATGAATAGAGTGATATCTGGCACAGAGTATTAGGTGCCCAAATAATTTGCGCATAAAAAATCCAGACTTATAGGTAGTCAGGAAACGGAAAACCAAGTCAAAATAAAATCCAAAATGAGGACCCTCTTTTATAAACAGACAAAACAGCTACCTCACCCCACCGAAATCAGGTGGGGGAGAGTACCACCCAAGGTCAGAACTCTGACCTGAGGACCGAACACGAAGTTACTTCTGTTAAATAAAATTTGTAATTTAATTTTGTAAATTTGGGTGTGCTTCAAATATGACATTAAAACAGAGTGTCGTTTCAAGTACGTTTTTTAACATTATCTATCAATAGTATAGTAAATCGTGGGACCGATAAAAATTTCAC